ACATACATTACACATATACACATACAACTCCAACGCTAACCAATAAACACACACACACACATAATCAAAAATAAAACATGCATACACCACACACTCACCTTCGCACACACACATACCCTTACTCACACACACACACTCACACAGACATGCCTGACCCCCCACCCTCCCTTCCCTCACACCCCCACCCCCTCCCCTACCCCCAATCACACAAACAAACACAAACAAACACATTTTTCGAATTTACAATCACAACACCCCCCTTAATAACAACAAGAACAGGCGTTACGACCAATTATGGAAAACAAAAGGTATTATATATATTTTTGTTCTTGCTATTCCGTGTGCTTGTTCTGCCTGTGTTCTCCATTTGTTCACCGTGAACAAAACGGAACATAAATTACGTGTTCATTTGTCCCATCCGCTCATTGTAAAGGTCTCTGCGTGTTGTAATTAAGATTTTGTTGTAGCGAGGATTGTGATTGTGATAATAGTGATAAGAATATAATGATCAAGATAATGAGTATGGTGATTGTGGTGATGATGGTGATGATGATAATAATAATAGCAATAACAACAATGATAATAATAATGGTTACAACAAGAATGATCATAGCAATAATAAATGTGATAATAACAATAATAGTAATTATCGTGGCAATATTAACAACAAAATCAATAATAACAATAACAACAACAATAAAAACAATAACAACAATAACAATAACAATCATAAGAATAATAACAACAACCATAATAACAGTAACAACAACAATAAAAAACAATTAAAAACAATAACAATCAATCATAAGATAATAACAACAATCATAATAACAGTAACAAAAACAACAACAATAAAAACAATACCAACAATAACAATACCAATAATAACAACAGCAAACACAAAGAAAACAATTACAACAAACCCAACGACAACAACAACAACAACAACAAAACAGATCAGCGTCAGGCAAACAAGATGACAGCGCACGGACGGAAGAAAAACAGCTGATGTCACTCGAACGACTCATGACCTCGTCGATGTCTGATGTCATGCTGAGAGAGGGATAGAGGGAGAGGAGAGGGAGAGGGGAGAGAGAAGAGGGAAGCGACTTCGGAGGAGACTGAGAGAGGGAGGACCCGAGAGAGAGAAGAGAGATAGAGAGAGGAGAAGAGAGAGAGAGATAGAGAGAGAGGATGTGAGAAGACGACGAAGGAGGAGAGAGAGAGAGAGAGATGAGAGGAGATGAAGAGCGAGGAATGGGATGTCATGGGGAGAGACGAGATTGAGAGACGGAGAGAGACAGGATAGGCGAGGGAAGAGAGAAGGGAGAGAGAGAGTGAGAGAGGAAGAGAAGAGGAGAGGGAGAGGAGAGAGTGAGAGGGAGAGGTGAGAGAGGAAAGAGAGAGAGAGGAGAGAGAGAGAGAGGAGAGGAGAGGAGAGATGAGAAGAGAAGAAGAGAAGGAGAGAGAGAGGAGAGAGAGGAGAGAGAGGAAAGAGAGGTCAGGGAAGCCACTAGCGGAAAGGTCGGCATCGTGAAGAAAGGTCAGCGAGGAGAGGAGGGAAAGAAGAGGAAGGGAGGAGAGGGATAGGAAAAGAAGAGAGAGAGAGAGAGAGAGAGAAGAGAAGAGAGAAGAGAGAGAGAGAGAGAGAGGAGAGAGAGAGAGAGAGAGAGAGAGAGAGAGAGAGAGAGAAAAAAGAAGAGAGAAAAAGGGCGAGAGATGAGAAAATAAAGAGAGAACGAAAGAGAGAAAAAATAGAAAGACAAAAAGAAACCCGCATAAGAGAAACGCAATCATAAAGAAAGAAAAAAAATTCACCCTTAAGAAAAAAAAAAAAAAAAATCCCCTTCGTTTAAAATTCAAAAATCCCCAACGACACATCTCTGAACCCCGTTGCAATGGCGCGAAGCGGAAAATTAAAGACTTAAGGCCCTATCACACTAGCACTTTTTCTGTCATTTTTTTTATTTCCATCTGAATCCGAGGTTTTCCGCAAGGATCGTCTGCGAACGGAACGCCTCCCAGACCAAGACGGTTACGACCGTTTCCGTCTGACTCATTTCCGTCTCGATCTTGTGCTATTCATAAATTAAATAGGATGAGTGAATGTGAACATAAGCTAACATTTTAGAGCATTCGTATATACAATATACATCACTTCTTTAAAATAACGTAATATGTATGAGAATGTTCGTGTGATTCCCGGGACCTCACTCCGATAGCGCCATGTTTGTTTACATGAGAAAGCTCATTCGAAAACGTAAAAAAAAAAAAAAAAAAAAAAAAAAAAAAAAAAAAAGAAAAAAGCGCTAGTGTGATAGGGTCCTAAAGGCCTTATCACACTAGCACTTTTTCCGTCAATTTTCGTGTTTCCATCTGAATTTGAGGTTTTCTACGAGCATCTTTAGCCAACGGAACACCTCCCAAACGAAGTCGGTTGCGACCGTTTCCGACTAATTTCTGTCTAGATTTTGTGATACGGAGGATCTAAACAGCTGGA